GTGTGTGTGTGTGTGTGTGGTGTGTGTGTGTGTATTTGTGTATGTATGTGTGTGCGTGTGTGTGTGTGTGTGTGTGGGGTGTGTTGTGTGTGTGTGTGTGTGTGTGTGTGTGTGTGTGTGTGTGTGTGTGTAAGTATATTTATGTATGTATGTAAATATATGTGTACACTTGGCAGTACCTGCACCTTGTAAAATACCCGTAAAGTTGCTTAGAATTCTTGCTGTATTTAACCAGGCCGAATTTTGACGAATCCTGAGACATGAAAAAAAACTATAAAGGTCTTGAAGTAGTTTTGGCACAGCAGAAGGACTGCCGCAGTGGTGAGTACATGTGCCCGACCTGCGTGTGCTTTATGGATAATTTAGAGCTTCGGTTGCAAAAAAGATTGTTTATTAAGGCTGTTGTTTAATGTGGTTTCCGTTTTCTTTGCATGTGTGAGCTGTCGGTTGCGGGAAAGGCTAGATCAGTAGCAACTCGGAGGCGGCATGGCGTCTGATTGTATCTTTGGAAAACAAAAAAAACAAAAAAAAAAACACAAGGGGTTTATTTTGATGACGTCATAAAAGTTATGGATGCTTTGTGAATATGGTCGATTATTTAGGTCTCTTCAATTTTCAAAAAAGGATGGAAAATAATGATTTTAATGGTTATATTTTCATGGAACAATTATCAAAACAGGCGCCATGACACCACCTCGAGTTGCTACTGACTTAGCCTTTCCTTATCGGTTGCTTGTCCGAACCTACGTGCATGTTTGTGGTTTTTCTTTTTTGTGCGGCTTTATGTCTTTTTTAGGGGTTTGTTTTTTTCCTTTATGTGTTTGAACTGCATGTTTGGGAATTAATATCACATGCAGAGCAGCTTTTGATTCGCGATGTGCATACTGAATGACATGACAGAAAACGGGATTATCCTTTTCACTTATTTTTTGAGGAGAGACTCTCTTATATAAACTGCATGACTCGGAGGATATCCTGGAGAGCAACTTTGATATGCAAAGTGAATGACATGACAGAAATCTTTATTTTTTTCCCTTTTTTAATGATTTTTGTCCCCACGCCCACTAAATTTCACTTCGTCTCACAGGGGGGCCTCCCGTGGGCGTGATGAGGGCGGAGAATACTGGGAAGCCCCGCCCATAGACGCGTCCCCAAGTGCCACCCAGTCGCCCACGCTCACGGTCGTTTCCGTCGCCCAGCCCACGACCCTCACCGTTGTGCCTGCGTCCGCCCCGCCGCCCACGCTCGCCATGGTGGGCGACTTTGTGGACGAAGACGGCAACCCTTGCTCTAACGTGTGATTCTTCGGAGTGTGGGCGGGCTGATCAGAAGTGTGTTGTAATACACACATTGTGTGTATGTATATGTATATATATATATATGTATATGTATATATAGATAGATAAATATATATGTATGTATGTCTATATATATAGATATATATGTATATATATGTGATGTATAGGTTCATACACACACATGTAATATTTATGTATATGGACTTGATAGCCCTTTAACCCTGTTTCTCGTGTACATTGATCTGTATGGAAAAGAACTAAACACGTGTAATTACTATAGTATATAAGCAGAAGATACTTTAGACATTACAGTTATAAGTGAGCAAAAGACTGATAAATACATTTTTAACGGAAACAAAGGATAAAAACATTCACACAGGTGCAGAAAAAAAAATATTTTTATCAGCAAGTGACTGATGACTATTAGGGGAAAAAAATCTGAGAAATAGAACAATTGAAGAACGTTATGAGTTGTATGAGTGAGCGATTTCAAGAACAGTGAGTGTTATATTGTGAGGAAGTTGCTGTAATTTCGAAGGACGATTTTCTATTTATATTTACAGAGGGGAGTTACTCCTCGCCATATTGACTTTTTCTATATCTTGTGAAAAAAAGATATTGACAAGAAGTGAAAGAAAAAATCAGGAAGCAATATATGTATGGAAAAAAATGATAATTTATATAAATGAAGTCTTCTAAACTCATCCACATATAAATTATTTTTACATCTTAAAATAGAAATCAAGAAATTAAGACGAAAATGCAATAAGAAGAGAGAAATGTAACACGAAAATAAATACATCACAGACAGTACCTGGTCGACATATACTATTCTCACCCTAGAACAGGTTATATTTCCGTCCTTTATATATATAAAAAAAAAACACTGTATCATATCATCATATATTTTGTATCACGTAGAGTTAAGTGTGAGTCCAGTGCCTGTCGAAAAAAAACTTTTTTTTTTTTTATTAGTTTGTTTATTTTTTATATGGTGTTGCTGCCTTCATTATAATGCTATGCTTCAATACTGTAAGTGGTTTAGCGTGAGGGAAGTTATTTTTTTCTTTTAGATGGTATGTTTATGTAGAATTGGGCATGAGCATACACATGCACATAGGCATACGCATATATATATAAGGACACACACACACACACACACACACACACACACACACACACACACACACACACACACACAC